TAACGGAGAAAAATGAAAACCATTCCCTCAAAATCAGGAACCAGACAAGGATGTCCACTATCTCCACTCCTATTCAACATAGCACTGGAATTCCTAGCCAGAGCAATTAGGAAAGAAGAAGGAATAAAAGGAATACAAATAGGTAAAGAAACTGTCAAAATATCCCTATTTGCAGACGACATGATCCTATACCTTAAAGACCCAAAAAACTCTACTCAGAAGCTTCTAGACATCATCAATAGCTATAGCAAGGTAGCAGGATATAAAATCAACATAGAAAAATCATTAGCATTTCTATACACTAACAATGAGCAAACGAAAAAGAATGTATGAAAACAATTCCATTTACAATAGCCTCAAAAAAAATCAAATACCTAGGTGTAAACCTAACAAAAGATGTGAAAGACCTCTACAAGGAAAACTATACACTTCTGAAGAAAGAGATTGAGGAAGACTATAGAAAGTGGAGAGATCTCCCATGCTCATGGATTGGTAGAATCAACATAGTAAAAAATGTCGATACTCCCAAAAGTAATCTACATGTTTAATGCAATTCCCATCAAAATTCCAATGACATTCATTAAAGAGATTGAAAAATCTACTGTTAAATTTATATGGAAACACAAGAGGCCACGAATAGCCAAGGCAATACTCAGTCAAAAGAACAATGCAGGAGGTATCACAATACCTGACTTCAAACTATATTACAAAGCAATAACAATAAAAACAGCATGGTACTGGCACAAAAACAGACATGAAGACCAGTGGAACAGAATAGAGGACCAGATATGAAGCCACACAACTATAACAACTTATCTTTGACAAAGGAGCTAAAAATATACGATGGAGAAAGAGCAGCCTCTTCAACAAAAACTGCTGGGAAAACTGGTTAGCAGTCTGCAAAAAACTGAAACGATATCACCCTATACCAAGATTAACTCAAAATGGATCAAGGATCTTAATATCAGACCCAAACTCTTAAGTTGATACAGAAAGAGTAGGAAATACTCTGGAGTTAGTAGGTATAGGTAAGAACTTTCTCAATGAAACCCAGCAGCACAGCAACTAAGAGATAGCATAGATAAATGGGACCTCATAAAACTAAAAAGCTTCTGTTCATCCAAAGAAATGGTCTCTAAACTAAAGCGACCACCCACAGAGTGGGAGAAAATATTTGCCAACTATACATCAGACAAAGGACTGATAACCAGAATATATAGGGAACTTAAAAAACTAAATTCTCCCAAAACTAATGAACCAATAAAGAAATGGGCAAGTGAACTAAACAGAACTTTCTCAAAAGAAGAAATTCAAATGGCCAAAAACACATGAAAAAATGCTCACCATCTCTAGCAATAAAGGAAATGCAAATTAAAACCACACTAAGATTCCACCTCACCCCTGTTAGAATAGCCATCATCAGCAACACCACCAACAACAGGTGTTGGCGAGGATGGGGGAAAAAGGAACCCTTACACTGTTGGTGGGAATGTAGACTAGTACAACCACTCTGGAAAAAAATTTGGAGGCTACTTAAAAAGCTGGACATCGATCTACCATTTGATCCAGCAATACCACTCTTGGGGATATACCCAAAAGACTGTGACACAGGTTACTCCAGAGGCACCTGCACACCCATGTTTATTGCGGCACTATTCACAATAGCCAAGTTATGGAAACAGCCAAGATGCGCTACCCCTGATGAATGGATTAAGAAAATGTGGTATCTATACACAATGGAATTTTATGCAGCCATGAAGAAGAACGAAATGTTATCATTCGCTGGTAAATGGATGGAATTGGAGAACATCATTCTGAGTGAGGTTAGCCTGGCCCAAAAGACAAAAAATCGTATGTTCTCCCTCATATGAGGACATTACATCAAGGGCAAACACAACAAGGGGATTGGACTTTGAGCACATGATAAAAGGGAGAGCACACAAGGGAGTGATGAGGATAGGTAAGACACCTAAAAAATTAGCTAGCATTTGTTGCCCTTAACGCAGAGAAACTAAAGCAGATACCTTAAAGCAACTGAGGCCAATAGGAAAAGGGGACCAGGAACTAGAGAAAAGGTTAGATCAAAAAGAATTAACCTAGAAGGTAACACCCCACAGGAAATCAATGTGAGTCAATGCCCTGTATAGCTATCCTTATCTCAACCAGCAAAAACCCTTGTTCCTTCCTATTATTGCTTATACTCTCTCTACAACAAAATTAGAATAAGGGCAAAATAGTTTCTGCTGGGTATTGAGGGTGGGGGGAGAGGGAGGGGCGAGTGGGTGGTAAGGGAGGGGTGGGGGCAGGGGGGAGAAATGACCCAAGCCTTGTTATGCACATATGATAATAAAACAATAAAAAAAATAAGAAGAAAATGTGGTATCTATACACAATCAAATTTTATGCGGCCATGAAAAAGAATGAAATGTTATCATTTGCTGGTAAATCGATGGAACTGGAGAACATCATTCTGAGTGAGGTTAGCCTCGCCCAAAAGACCAAAAATTGTATGTTCTCTCTCATATGTGGACATAGATCAAGGGCAAACACAACAAGGGTGATTGAACTTTGATCACAAGATAAAAGCGAGAGCACACAAGGGAGATATGAGGATAGGTAAGACACCTAAAAAATTAGTTAGCATTTGTTGCCCTCAACGCAGAAAAACTAAAGAAGATACCTTAAAAGCAACTGAGGCCAATAAGAGAAGGGAACCAGGAACTAGAGAAAAGGTTAGATCAAGAAGAATTAACCTAGAAGGTAACACACACGCACAGGAAATTAATGTGAGTCAACTCCCTGTAATAGTTATCTTATCTCAACCAGCAAAAACCCTTGTTCCTTCCCATTATTGCTTATACTCTCTCTTGAACAAAATTAGAGATAAAGGCAAAATAGTTTCTGCCGGGTATCAAGGGGGTGGGGGGGAGAGGGAGGGGTTGGGGTAGGTAGTAAGGGAGGGGGTGGGGGCAGTGGGGAGAAATGACCCAAGCATTGTATGCACATATGAATAATAAATAAATAAATAAAAAGGGAAAACTCTGGGAATATAGGGCTCCAGTGAGCTGGTGGCTTTGCTTCAGGTATAAAATGGAGATGAAGGTTCCCCCAAAGTAGAAGGTTTTCAAGCAAAGCCAAGATATCAATTTCTGTTTGAGAAGTGTTGCCTGTTGGGTCCTTCCCATCTTGTTAGTTGTGGTGTCTGGGTTGACCCACCTACATCAGTGATGCCATGCCTACCTGGTCAGCTCAACAACAGCAGGCAGAGAGCTGCTTCTCAACAGGGATGTGCACCTTGAAGCTGTACCGGGGACAATGAATACAAAACCCCTAGAGGTACCTCTGAATAGTGGGTATCTCCATTCATCACAGATTCCAATCAGCAAAATCAACTGCCACAGGACAATAGGTCAAAATGATGGTGTGGGCTGTGGAGCCACAAGAGGGAACATGTCATAGACTACAGACAGTTTCCAATACAGCCAGCTGGTCTGGGCCCTACTCAATGGCTGCTGACTTGCCAGTTGGCTGACAAAAAGGACCAAGTGGAAAGCTTATGTTGATATATATAGTGTTCAAAACCCAAAAAGTCCACTTCTTTTTTGGTGGTAGGGGTCATAAACAACAGTTTTTCAGGGTCATTGAGACAAAAGCTTCGACTTGCCAATCAACAGAATAGCACCTAAATAACAAAAGCTTTGTCTGTCAGGAGCAGCAGCACTCATGCAAATCCTGACCATTCCCAAGGGTGGCATAGTGATATACAGTTTTCAACGTCAGTCTCCCCAATGGGGAGACTCACAGGATATGGATGGGCAAGCATATTACACATAAATTCTTCACACAGATGCAAATGTAGAAGCCATAACAACACAAAAATGAATTGCTCAAGAGGCTTTACCCCTGAGGTCATATTAGCTCCCTTCTCCACTTACAATTAGAAATGAAGGGACCATAAAGAAAAACTAGAAATCATCTGTAATCTACAAATGATAGGCAACCATTGTTAGTATTTTCATGGTTTTTCTCATGTAACATGTATGTTCATACCTAATAACTGAACTTTACTTTGCTCACTTTATAGCACATTTTATATATATATATATATATATATATATATATATGTATATGAAATACATTCTATCTACGTATGTCACTGAAAATCCCTGATATTGCATGTACATGCATCAGACTGTTTATATCAGCCTTATTGCTTAGTTTTTTTCAAAATCTTTTGCTACTATAAACAATAATGTAGGAAAAGTATAAGACATTTTAATGTTTTCTTTTAAATACGGAGTGAAGCAAGAACCTAATATTTATTATTGTCCCCATCACCCCCCTAAAACAGCTTTCTTCTTAATTTTTTCCATTTGTTTTGGAGGCTCACTGTAATACACTATACACACACATCTGTCTGCATCTTTGACATCTGCTTTCTTATTTTATTTTTTTGGCAGTACTTGAGTTTGAACACAGGGCCTCACACTTGCTTGGCAGGTGCTCTACAACTTTTACTAGGCCCTCAGCCCCTTTTGCTTTAGTTATTTTCTAATAAGGTCTTGCAAAAATTTTGACTGGGGATTACCTCAGACCACAGTCCTCCTATCTATGGCCTCATATGTAACTGGTATCACAGGCATGTACCACCATTGGGTCCTTAATGATTGAAATGGGGTCTCACTAACTTTTTGAATCTTGGTCCTCCTGATCTCTGCCTTCCAAGTAGCCAGAACTACAGGTGTGAATCTAAGGACATTATATGGTGTAATCAGTGTCACTTCCTCCCAACGCCTTGTTTCCTCTTACACTTCAATACTTTAAAACACATAACTCTTTTATTATGCTTCTACTACACAGTGCATTTCCTTTTACACGAACATACTGAGGTCAGTAACAAAGGAGTCTGAATTATAATCTCTCCTTTACATTTCGGAACCTAAACATATGAGTTCTCTGCAACTAAAAATAGTAGTAAAAATATACAAAGCAAAGAAAATCTTTGAAAAGTCTAATGTGCTCTCTGTTGGCTACTTCACAACAGTATTAATGGAAGTGTATTACATTTTTATATCACTCATTTTCAACTAGGTTTATTATAATCCCTCTAATTGTGGTAAACTGGATTTCATTTACACCATTCATTTCTCCACTAAACTACTCTTGTTTTAGATAAGTGACTACGTAGGATTCAAGGCTGAAGAAAACTTCATAGAAATGAATGTTCTCCCTTACCGCTTGCCTCGTGGATAATGGCGCACATACTCTCCAACATCATGAGCAGCAACAGCTAAGACTTGTGGATCATCCGACACCTCCAGAAGTTTTGTCAAGATTCTGTAATAAATTTAATCCATAGATATAGAGTTCTATTTTTGTCTATAGAGTATAACAGAGCATAGGTAAATAACATCTTCCTCAAAGTAAATATAATATGAATAGAATTATACAAAGTCAGTAATTTTTAAACCTTTATACGTAAGTAACAGTTAACTTCCAGATTCACAGCCAATGCCATGCACAATTCCCAAAACACCAGGGACTCCTTCACCCTCTGAAGAGAGATAACTAGAATATAAATAAAAGTTACTTTAATGAAGACTACCAGTAATCTCTGCTAATTATATTTGTTAAATTAGTCACTTGTAAACCATAGGGCCTAGTGTTAGTGCTGGGGATTTTGCCCCAGCACCCCAGAATCGGGGGTAGATGGAGCAGTAAGAACACACATCTCCCCTCTTTCTGTCCCCAAGTCTAACAAAAGACTGAACATATATTTTACAAGTAGAATTAAATCCACTATGGCAAATGAATGTTTCTTAGAAGACTTCAGTCCAAATCCCTTGCCTGCCTAATACTTTTCCCACAGCAACAACACAGAGGAAAATTTCCACTGGCACCTGACAGTACTTCTGAGAATAGGGGCTAAGTCTCCCCTTGGTCAAGGTTTTGGCCTCCCTGTCAATGACTATGAAGGAGAGGTTGTATTCACCTGGGAATGTACATGTACTTAGAAATAAACTGGGGAACACTATTCAGAATCCAAGGAACTGAGAAAGGGTTGTCTTCCTTCTCAAGGAATAAATCCTTGAATGTTTAAACAGATGTAATTTAAAAGACAGGACAGCAAAATAGGTACAGTGTATAAAGAGGTACTTGTGGTAGGGGGGAGGGTGAATGGAGGAGATGAAGGTGAGGGAACATGGTTGACGGGCTTCATATATATATATATGAAACAGAACAATGAAATCTCTTGCAATTGCTTTAAGTGGAACAGGGAGGAGGTTGGGGTGGGGAAGGGTGAGGGGAGAGAGGGTGGGGGCGATCTAACCAATGTGGAAATGGCACAATGAATCCCCTCTGAACAATGCATATATGCTAATACAAAATGGAAAAAATGCTCAAGGGCCCAAATTAGATAGAAAACTTCTCTCAACTCATTCTACAAACAAAAGGTAACTGTGATAACCAATCAGAATAAGTAATTTTTAAAGGCTATATAAAAGATTAACACATAAACACAACTGCTTTATAACATGCCAGCACGACCCACTAAGTTAAAAATAGACACATAAAAACAATAACACGTTAGCAAACTGAACCCAGCAAAATGCAGAGAGAACATAATTTATTCAGTTCTCAGCCCTAATGCCCTCTCTTGGCTAAGAATCCCACCATCCCCTTTCTTTAATTCTCATAACACCAATCACCACCTGCCATTATATTCTCTATTTCCTTGACTATTTGTTCAGTCTTTCTTTCCCAACTACAATGTAAGCTTGATGAGAAAAAAAAAGACTATGTTTTGTATTTTATCTGCAACACCTAGAGCAGAACAGATACTCAGCAAATACTTGTTGAAAAAATGAGTGTTAAACTGAATAAGTATTAAATTGATGATGCCAATTTAGAAAAAAACTGAATATATAAAATTTTTTAAGCATTTTTTTTCTTTTTTTGTGCAGTACTGGGCACTAAACCCAGAGGGAATTGCCTAGCACATGCTAGGCAAGTGCTCTACCACTTAAGTCACACCTCCAGCCTTGCTCCTGGTATAATTTATAAAACAGTCTTTAAAAATGAATACGTTAGTTTAAGTAACTCTAAGCTGTAAGTAAAAGAGAAGTAACAGACTTACATTTAGTATGATGAATGTATAAAAATGTTATATAAAAATACAGGTGAGGTATGTCAATGCACCAAAGACTAGTTGAGACTCTATTACCTATTGACTCTGGTTGTGGCTGGGGAAGAGCCTGAGACAGGACACAAGTGAAGAAACCCTTTCACTTTCATTCTATATGTCCTCATAGTGTGCTAAAAAAAACCATGCTGCTTGATATGTAACTTGGAATTCAAAGGTTTAGCAATATACACATTTGTAAAAAAGGTTACCTAATTTTATCTAGATGCGTGCCATACTACTGTCCCTTAGCATTGCTACTTAAGATTTTAATAAAAAAACTGAAACCATATAGTTGTCCACTTTCATGAAACCATTCATTTATATGTCTTATTTCATAAAATCTTTACTAGGAAATAAGTGAAGTCACAACTCTTTGTTTATATTAGCTGTATGAAGGCAAATACTAAGAGTAATAAAATGCTATCTCTACTTTGTTTAAAATTTGTATGAACCTGCAAAATTTGCTTACTTTAATATCTAGAACATTTATATGGCAATGTCACAGAAGGCTTAAAGTCTCTCTGCCAACCTTTTCCTGCTACTGCCTCAGCCTGTTAACTACTGGAAACCTACACACAACAGGAAGCACTGATAAAGAATCTTTTTGTCAACCAAGGAATGCATTCATTATGAAGTAATTACATGCCTTCTATCTTCTAGATTGAGTGGGAAATCTGGATTCTGAACTTACAGAGAAAAAAAGAATGTCCACTTACATGTACACGTTTCAAGCTCTATGCAATTACATTCCCCTAAACAACCCATAAATGATGACATGAGACTCAGAAAAGTTAGGTAATGTGCCTCAGGACAGAACAAATGTTGAAAACAAAATCTGAATTATCATTTGTTGACTCCACAGCCACACAGAAAACACAATCATACTCCAATAGCAACTCCTTGGGTTTGGGGAGGTTTTTTGTTTTTGTTTTCTCGGGGGAGGGGTTCTTTTTTTCCTTTCATTTTTGTTAATTGTTGTCATCCTGGGGGTATGTGAAATTTACAAAAGTTCTTACAATATATCATAGTTGAATTCACCTCCTCCATCATTCTCCCTCTATTCCCTCTCCCCCAACTACAAGAATAATTTCAGCAGGTCTCATTTTTCCACTTATGTACAAGTATATACAATATTTCCACTATATTCACCCTCCTATATCCTTTCCCTATATCCTCCCCCTCCCACTAGTACCAACCCCTCCAGAAAGGGCCTGTTTTGCCTTGCTGTTCTCCATTTTTGTAAAAATATATATATATTACATTTTTATTTGTTACAGGGTGCTTGATTGTGACATTTCCATGTATATATGTATTATAACCCAAACTGGTTCATCCCCTCTACTTTTCTCCTTTCTACTTTAGTCCTTCTACTGGTGATTTCAACAGGTTCAAAACTTCTATATTCACACTTGTATAGGAAGTATATCAACCATATTCACCTTCTTAATTTCCTTCTTTTACCCTTCCTCTCTCATATGTGACCCCCCCATCATCATCTGTTTTTCATAATATTGCTGTATTTGCAATAGGTCTATATCCCACATATGAGAGCAAACATGTGGCATTTGGTTTTCTGAACCTGGCTACCTTCACTTAAGATAGTATTTTCCAGTTCCATCCATTTACCTGAAAATGACATTTCATTCTTCTTTATGGCTAAATAAAGTTCCACTGCATATAAACACCACATTTTCTTAATCCATTTATCAGTAGTGGTGCAGTTTTTGTTTTGGTATTGGGGTTTGAACTCAAGGGCTTTGAGCTTACTAGGCTCTTTACCAGTTGAGCCACACCTTCACCTAAAACAATGCCTTCAATATAAGTACATGAAAACCTGTAAGATGAAACAAGACATACAATTTCCCATATATTTATCTTTTAAAACCCCAAACTATGATATCCTTTTTAAAAGGTCAACTTGCACATTATTATAAAGTTAAGATCAATTTAATTCAGCTGAAACATTTTAATTACTTCAAAAGATTAAACTAATGACATTATTTTAATATAAGAAAGTATTTTATTAAATTATAAGCAAATTGCATTAACATAAATAACATTTTTTCTAAACACCTAAAACTAGAAGTCAGCAAATTACAGCTGAAGTTCAAACCCAGGTACCATCTATTTTGTAAGTAAAGGTTTACTGGAGCACAGCCACACTCATTAGTTTACTTATGGTCCATAGCCACTCTGCCACTACAATGGCAAAGTTGAGCAGTTAAGACAGAGAATAAACGTCTTGCCAAGTGTAAAATAAATACTAACTAGGTCTTTTGCAAAAAAAACACAAGTGTATCAATCCTTGCCTTAAGCCATATTCAGTGACTGAAGCCATTCTCCACATGGCTGAGACCCTCAATATACTTAAAATATGGTGTGCAAATCAGCAGCATCCAGCATAGGTTATCACCTAGACACATTAGCAAAGCTAAATCCCAGCTCTACTTCATACAATCTACACTTTTAACAAAGACAGCCATTAACATTTGAAAAGCATAACCTTAGACTCAAAGATTGATAGAACTGGAATGAATGAGAGACTTTCTAGTCAAATCTATCAAACACAAAAATGATGTTAATTATTCATTAGGGTCATTTAGTTCACTGAGTACCTTCATTCACCAGCAATGAAAACATCTTTGAATTATTATCTGTAAGTCTGTTGGGTATTATTACAATTTATAATATATAAATTATCAATAAAAATGTTCAAAGGAACAGGTTTAAAAAATTCTTATGGTAAGCAGTGAGTTCCTTCCAACTCCTCTCTGAATACAGGAAGCCAACAACAGATTCATCAATCATAATCAGATAATCAGATAATCAGATTTTGTGGATTACCCCAATAGGACCTAGACACTAAAACATCACAACTTCGTAGTTAGACCAAATGTGAATTCTAACTCTGACAGTTGTTAGAAATGCAGTCTTGAAAAGTGTCTACTTAAATCCAAAATAGAATTAATATTATTATTTTAACTGATCATTCAACAAATTTGTACTTGTCCTCTTTCATAATGTTTTCCGTTTTAAATTTGTTTGCTCTCTTGGCTTTGTTTTTCTCAGAATATTTCCTTACTCAAAATACATGCTGATTTGAAAACTACTACAAGCTACAAGGTATTTTCTGAATACTACTGCACTGAAAAGTAAGGGGCAAAGGACATAAGGAGGGATGGAGGGAGGGTGATGGTATAAAAACTGAATTTGTATCATCTACTTGCTACATTTGGAATTACCCAGAAATAGGTCATAGTCTGACGTAAATATGGTTCTCCAGAGACAAAAAGGCAGTCATGCACTGTGCTTTCTAAACAGTAGAATTAAATGAAGACTGCACCTGCATCTATTTTATTAACTAGTTTGAAGGACATCATTTGTATGTCCTTCCTGTCAATTATCCCCTACAGCTAATTTATAGAAATAAGACAAATGATGATTTTAAATATCACAACATTACATAACATAAAACTGAAATATCACGTACCACTGTTTGTGGTTATTCAGAAAAATCACAAAGGGTCATATAAAGATAAAAGAAGTAATCTGAAGGAGTCCTGAAAATTAAAATCTCATGCCAAAACTCAGAATGTGCACTTCAAAGGTTCTGGCTATGTGTATCATTTTAAAGATATATGCAACATTTATTAATTTGTTAAAAAAAAATCTCCATTATATTCAACTTTCCCAAAGACTAATTAAAAGCATTTTACAAGCTCTCTTTTGTTGTCATTGTTAAAATTTCAAAGTGGAAAGACAATGGAGAAAAGATAATCTAGTCATTTTCCCTTCTATTATCCATCAGTACTGCCAATCTCTATCAACCACTCACACTGGTTTATCACACTTTCATCAAATAAGAAGAATGTTATTATTTTCAATAATACATAAAAAATAAAGTCTAAACAACAGAGATAGGTCTGCCTAAAAATGTTCCATCAGACACATGTATTTTACCTTTGCTTCTTCTAGATACCTCATTAAATGACAGTACTACAAAATAAATTTTAAAAATCAGAAACCCATTAAGGAAAGACAAAATGGAAAACAAAACCAAAACAACAAAATCATAAAGTGGAAAGTCAGAGGAACAAATGTTAACTAACTTGAGAAAACCAAGTATCACAGTGGCCATGAGGGAAGCTGATTTACAACATAGAAATGTTTCTCAGTACCACCAGATACCAGACTCAGTCTGCATAGTCCAACATGACAGTACTAGACTGTGGCTATGTGGTTATTTAAGACAATGAAACTTGTTGAAATTGTTCTAAGGGGGGTGGTGAGGGATAATGACAGAAAGGGTGAATCTAATTATGACATATTGTAAGCACATACGTAAATTTCACAAAGCATCCCTGTACAACTATTATATGAAAATTAAAAATAAATAAACTAATAAAAAGACAAACTGATTAGCAGTCAGTTTCTTGGTCACACTGAGGCAGGCTAGAAGTAGGAGTAGTTAGGGGCTCATGTAGCTTGCCTGGGGATGGACCAGACCACCCCTCCCCTGGCTGGGAACCACCTATACCCCTCTCCACTGGTTCATTATTGGGTGGGCTCCTCCTGGGCCTGCCCTCCCGTGGGGTAGTGTAGGTTTTAAAAACACCTGAAAAAGAGAAGCACTCTCTCTCTGCCAGTGAACTCCACCTGCGCCTACCACACCCTCTGCTTTTCCTTCCCTTTCCTCACCTGGCAGAATGGGTGACTTCCCTTTTCTCAATAAAGCTATCCTACCTCACCCCATCCATGTGCTCTGCTTGGATTTTTCCATTTGGAGCTCAAAAACCAGGATCTTCTAATCACAGACTACGCCAGCACCATTAACAATACCAGCAACATTTCAAATGTTCTTTAGAAACAAATTATTGTACTGAGTACCATAAATATAGGATGCTTCTACCATCAAAAAAGTTCCACTGAAGCTGGACTATAAAATGAAAATTTTGTAATGGCATCTATAAGAACATCAAAACATCAAATGCATAGGAATAAATTAAATGAAAGGCAAGACAGTAACATTATCTGAAAGTAACCTTACATACATACATGAGGGGATATACCATGTTTATGCATTGGAAGACTCACCATCATCTCCAGCAAATTTTTTAAAATATCAAATCCTTTTAGAGTGAAACATGGATTTGATCCCAAAAATATCCCAATAAAACTGGTTATTTGACAAGCTTATTCTAAAATGCATACAGAAATGCAGAAGGCCAAAATTCACTAAACATCCAGGAAGAACAACAAATTTGGAACACTCTATATCAAATACCAAGTCTTACTATAAAGTACAGCAATTAACATAACATGTAATACTGGAATAAGGAGAGATGAACAGATAATGGAATAAAGAATTCAAAAAGACATTTGCATAGTAGAGATTCCAGGCAAAGCAATTAGATAGGAAACAAAAATAAAATATCTCAGGACTGGGAAGTGAGGAGCACAATGATCTCTATTTGCAGATGATGATAGAAAATTCAAAGAAATACAATTTTTAAAAGCTATAAAAATTAATAAAAAGAACTCAGACTGAAGAAGATCAAGCTACAAAAAAATCAATTATATTGTTATAAACTTGGAATGAACAACTGGAAATGAAGTTAAGGAAATAAATGCATTGGCAATAACATCAAAAACATATTTAAAGTCTGCCTCAAAAGCATGAAGTCCTGAGTTCAAACTCAACACTGCCAATACATGTATGTAATATATGTATACATATAATTTAACAAAAGAAATGTAAAGCTTACCCTGTAAAAACTTCAAAGTACTATTGAAAGAAATTAAGTATTAGGTCAGGCATGGTGGTACATGCCTGAAATCTCAGTAACTCAGGAGATGGAGATAGGAGGAACCAGTGCAGTCAAAACCAAAGTAGATATGGTGGCACACACCTGAAATCCCTGCTATTAAGGAAGCAAAGGAAGGAGGATCACAGTCTGAAGCCTGCCCATACAAAAACATGAGATCCTAGCTTAAAAAACACTAAAAGCAAAAGGACTGGGGTTATAGATCAAGTGCAAAGGCCTGAATTTAAGCCCCCATACCACCCCAAAAAGAGAAAAGGAATTAAATATTATCTGAATACTAAATATTGTTTAAAATGATAATACTCCCAAAATTCATTTATAGCTTCAACACAATCTCTATTAGAGTCCCAACTGGCTTGTTTATAAATTTAATGTGGTGACTCTAAAATTTATATGAAATGGAAAGATCAGGAATAGATACTTCTCTAAATGAGATACACAAATGATCAATAACCATAAGAAAAGATGTTTGAGATCATTAGTCATCAGGAACTAGAAACAGAAACCCTAATGTGATACTGCTATACAGCCACTAAGATAACTAGAACCACAAGGTCCAAGGTTGGGAAATTTCAACTTTTGGTAAGGTAGAAGAAATCAGAACCCTCACACACTGCTGGACGGAATATAAAATTGTGTGGACACTTTCAAAAACACTGGCAGTTCCACAAAGCATTAGTCAGTTACTGTAAGACTCAAGAGGTAACCACCCAAGCAAGAGAAAAACATATGTCTACTGTCAACTATGACAGCAAGTTTTATTGCTATCACAATAACCAAAAAGTAGGAACAACCCAAGTGTCTATGAACTGATGAGTTAAAAAACAAAATGGAATACAATGGAGTATTATTTAACCATAAAAATGAATGAAGTGCTGATAAACACTTTAACATGGAAAACCAAGACACATTATGGTAAGAGAAAGAAGCCAGTCACAAAAAGGACAAGTAAATGATTCCATTTATATCTGATTTCTGTAACAGGCAAATTCAGAGACATAATGTAGGTTAATGATTGCTGTGGGCTGGGTAAAGGGTGCACAGACAGGTGATAGCTAAGGGATATGGGGTTTCTCCTTGAGTGATGAAACTGTTCTAAAATTCATTATGTTGATGGTTGCACATGGCTGTGAATATACTAAAAACCACTGAACTGTACACATTAAGTACATTAATTGTATAGTATGCAAATATTATCTCACTAAAAAATGCTACTTGCATTTATCAGCACTTCATATTTGGTTGCCTTCTCATAACAAAGGTAAACCTGCAGAACACTGGGGGAAATGCTATTTTCAATAAAGGATGCTGGTTCAATTAGGTATCATGTAAGGAAAACAGTGACTCTTCGCTCCTACTTCATACCTTACCCAAAAATCAATTCCAGACTGGCTGGAGATCTAGATGAAAGAGGCTGAACAACAAAGCTTCTACAAGATAACATAGAAATCTTTGTGCTCTTGAGTAGGCAAAAGTTTCTTAACCAAGACACAGAAAACCACTGGCCATACAGAGAAAGGTTAATAAATTGAGCCACATTAAAATTTAGAGTTTTTGTTCAACAAGACACCTTTAAAGAGTGAAATGGCATGAGACAAAGACAAAATAGCTGTGACAAATATATGACAAAAAAAAAAGAACTCAGGTTCTGAATGCAGAACTCCATAAAATGGGAAAAAAACTGAACAGAGACTTATCCAAGAGAAGAAGATATCCAAATTACCAAAAGCATACAAAAAAAGGCATTCAACCCACAATATTCAGCAAGAAAGTATAAATTAAAAGCACAGAATAACTAAAACTTACAGGAGGTAAAATGTATTGGTGAGGACTTCGAATAACAGGCATGAAGAGTACAAAGTGGAGTAAAAACTTACTTCAACAGTTCATAATTCTTCTCATTTAACCTCACAGCATTCTCTCTCCAAAATTTCTCAGACTTGTGCACAGGACTCCATTCCAACCTTCCAGATTTAAGCTCTGAGCTATATTCATCAAATGAGCTATAAAAACATTTTAAAGAATTCCAAGTTTATAAGCATCTGAGAGTTACTCCAAAACTAAGCAAAATGTCTTCAGTGATAATTACAAAGACTAACCACCCTCCACATATTAATGAACTACCACCAAACAAAAACTTAAACAATTTAAATAATCTATAACAAATCTTATGAGATTTTACTCAGAGTATTAAAATCTAACATTCCTACCAAATTTGAATGTTTGGTATGAAATATTAAAACAAGCACTGGCTTTCAAAATCCTTACCCAGATAAACACATGAATGCACACATCAGTTAAAAAAAAACAAAAAGGAAAATCAGAATTTCCACCACAACACTTGAAATACTAGTATTTTTCCAGACCACTAGTTATATTAATGTGAAAATATGTAAAAGCAGCATACTTTAACACAAAATAAAATAGCATACACTGATATATCATAAACCATGATAATATATTAAAAAATCACAATTAATACAATATTTTACAATGTGATTACCAATAATGTAGGTGATTTAATCAATTATAAATTAATTAAAAAACCAACGCATCCATACATATAATAACTACAATGCACTTTAAGACATTTACTATGTGTACAGCAATTTAGTTATTAAAAGCTTTATAATATGAAACTTTTACGCCATTACTCAGTTAACTTTTACATAAATAAAATGATGAGCATCTCCCCAAATGAGACAAGACAGCACACAGCTTTAAGCAACTGTTGTCATAAAATAATGATGTCTCAACAGAAGACTTAGCATATTTTAGGGAAATCTCCTGGTTTTCATAGTTGACGACCAATTCAGATTTTCTTTAAAAACCTATGCAAGCCAATGGAGACTCCATCTCAAAAAAAACCAAAAAACCTATTCAAGTCAAACAAAAGCCCAGCAGATCCAGTACAGTATATGAGAATTTAAAAAAAAAAGTAACACACCTAAGGTCCTGCACACTCTCACCAAGTTTTTCCAAAAGGAATTTGATATCTTCACTGATATCTTCATCATCATATTTCTGCTGTTCCAAGTTCTCCAACTGTTTCAGAACTTTGCACTGAATCATAGCCAGAGCATATTCTTGGCGAGTTTCTCTTTCAGTTGATTTTTCTAAAAAGTTCTGGGTTAGACAAAGAGACGATGAGAAACTACATACTTTGTCATATGATGTTTCAGATATCTGTGTATCTACAAAACCCTCCTTCTAGACTCAGATTTCACTATCACCTTTAAGGGATGACTTTATCTAGAATACTCACTTCTTTCTGGGGTTGTCTGTCCCTTATCAGAAGCCTACTTCTGATTACTTACATATGCCATAGTTTGCTTTTGGAGTTTGGATCTTCTGCTCTCGGCTCCCTCTGTCTGCTCCTTGCCACCATAAATTCAGCAGCTTCCTTTGCCCACTGTGCTGTGCTGCCTTGTCACTGGCCCAAAGGCAATGGAGCCAAGTAACTATGCACTGAAACCTTTGAAACTGTGAGCCAAAATTAACCTTCCCTCCTTATTAGCTGATGATCTGAGGTGAGTGATGGAAAGCTGACTAACACACGTACTTACTGGTTTACTAAACAACTTTTAACTAACACATTTAAAACTAGGCTGTGTATAATGATCCATGCCTGTAATCCCAGCTACTCAGGAGGCAGATCGGGGAGGATCACAGTTGAAGGCCAGCCCAGGCAAAACGTTAGCAAGACTCCAGTTCAACAAAAAAGCAGGATGTGTTGGTACATGCTTGTCATCCCAGCTATGGGATATATGGAAGTAGAGAACTGCAGTCCAGGCTGGCCTGAGCAAAAAAATCCAAGACCCTATCTGAAAAATAACTAAAGCAAAAAGGACTGGGGAAGAGGGGAGGTATGTGGTTAAAGTGGTAGGACATTTCATAGCAAGCATGAGGCCTGAGTTCAAACCCCAGTACTGCCATAAAAGGAAGAAGAACAAAAGCAAACTTGAGGACATTTTGAAAGCAGTTAGAGAAAGACAATACGTTATAAACATGGGAACAAAAACACCAATTAAGACTGCAAAAAGAACCATGAACCCAGAATTTTATATCCAGCACAAGTACCCTTAAAGAACAAAAGTAAAATAAAACCATCTTTTACATAATGATAACTAAGGTAATCAGTCTCCAACAGACACACACTGGAAGATACATGCTCAAGCCAGGGTTGGCAAACTTTTTCTCTAAAAGGCCAAAGTGTAAGTGTTTCAGGTTTTGTGGTCACTAACACAACTACTCAAGTCTGCTATTATGGTACAAAAGCAACCACAGAAAATATGTAAGCAAATAAGCAGGGCACTGTCTGAGATACCTTTACTCACAAAACAGATGGCAAGCCAGACCTGACCCTATACTAAATCAGTCTGCAGACTCCTGGGCTAAAGGAAATTCTGTAGCTGAAGGAAAATGAAATCACCAAATGGAAAGCTGGGTCTTTGGCAAAGAAGGGATAACTGCAGCTGAATAAATATAAAAGGCTATTTTTCCTTCTTAACTTCATAGCACACATAAGACTGTTTAAAGCAAGGTTAAAATACTGTCTTATAGGGTCTATAACATGTGTAAATGTAACCTATATACAATGGCCACAGTTCTTGGGTTGGTGAGAGCACCTATGCAAAGCCCTAAGTTCAAGCCCTAGTACTACCAAAAAAAAAAAAAAAAGATGGCCAGTTGTTACATTTCACATGATAGTACACATTAACTTTAAATATAATGGAAAAAGAAAAAGGTTAAGGATATATATTGTGACACTACAACAACTTCTAAGAAATAGAATATTGTGAAAGGGAATAGCAAAAGCTAATAGAAAAATTAAAATGAAGTTCTAAAAAGGATTCAATTAATCCAAGAGAAGGAAAAAGCTGAAGAACATAAACAGATAACCAAGCAAAAAACAAACAGCAAAATGCTCTAAAAAGTAAATAGTTCTAAATTCAACTATACCAATAATTACTTTAAATGCCAGTCAACAAAACATTCAGATTAATATGCAGAGATTATTTAGATAAAAATTCAAGACATATTATGTTGTCTAAAAGAAGCAAACTTTAAAGTCACAGGCAGGGTGAAACTAAAAAGATGGAAAAAGATATACCATGCAAACACAAGCAAAAGAATGCTGACTTGTCATATTAATTTCAGATAAAGTAGACATCAGGACAAAAAATGTTATCAGTGATAAAGAAGGACATTTCATGGTAGACACAAGGACCCACTCATCAAGAAAATGGAACATTCATAAATGTTATAATAATAGTTTAAAATCATGAAGCAAAAATTGACAGAACTGAAGGGAAAGTAAACAAATCTACAATAGTAATTAAAGGTTTGAACAGCTATCTCAGCAACAGAGAATCATAAAAAATTAGTACACAGATCTGAGTAATATTACCAACCATCCTGACCTAAGTGACAATTATAAAACTACTTTGACCTACAAACTATGCATTCTTTTTAAAGTACAAATGGTACACTCACTGTGATATACCGAGTCATAAAACAAGTCTTAAATTTCAAAAGATTGTGAAATTTACAGTCTAGGTTCTCTACCCATAATGGAATTCAATTAAGGACGGTAAGTTTCTTTCTTTATTTTTGACTTACACATAACATTTATTTATGACATTTTTTCTGAAGTTCAGAGGCTGGAAATTGAGATTAGGTGCCAATATGGTTGGTTCATGAGCAGGCCTTTTCCAGGAGGCGCAAGCGTTGGACTTTTTATATTTTTTACCAGGATATGTTCATTGTACAATGAAGATTCATTGTGACAATTCCAAATTGGCTTATATTGTATATTGGTTAAATCATCCCTACTACCTCTACCCCTTGACTCCTCCCTGCCATATTTAAAGCAATTGTAAAAGGTTTCATTGTTTTATTTCATATATGTATATGAAGTCCATCAACAATATTCCCTCACCTTCATCTCCTTTGTTCACCCTCCCCCTCCCAAGTACCCCCCCACACACACTGTAACTATTTTACAGTTCTTTCATTACTAATTTCTAAGTCAATGTTCAAAGGGGTTTCTTGATGTATCCGCACTGTGAGTATACTTTACTTTGGTCAGTTCAACTCCTTCCCTTACCCCTTCCCTCTCACCCCCATTTTTCAATGCTATCAGTACATATCCTTATACCCTCTACCTTCACAGATATTATATATTATGATATTGTTGACACTCTATCATTCCTTTTCCTTTCCCTCCTTCCCCAAGTTCCATAGTGTAGTTCCACTATTACAAACATATTCTACATACATGTTTGTATATGATCATGTTTGTTTTTGTGTATATTCTTATCTTTTGGATCTACATAAGTTTCTAATTTCTATTTGAGACTATAACAATGTGCTTCTAGGTAATCTGTTGGTCATAGAGGAAATCATACTGATGAACGAAGTTAGTATCTTTACATGCCTGTCTCCTTTACTAAACTGAGATCCTAAGTCCATAAGACCATGCGCGACATCACAATTTTTAATATTTCCCTAAACTCCAGTACCTGCTATGACTACTCCTATGAACTGTTCACTTCCAGAATATCTATGGTTTCCTTCTACAGGAATTCTTTTGAAACCTTAAAATGTACAGACAGCCAGGTGCTGGTGGCTCACACCTATAATTGTAGCTACTCATGAGCAGAGATCAGAAGGATCGTGGTTCAAAGTCAGCCTGGGCAAATAGTTCGTGAGACTCTATCTCAAAAAACCCTTCACAAAAATAGGGCTGGGGGAGTGGCTCAAGGTGAAGGCCGTGAGTTCAAGCCCCAGTACTGAAAAAAAAAAACTGTACAGACTTAAATTTGATCACCTTTCCCTTTGTGAAACTTTCCTTTTGTGTGATTTTAACTGTGCTTCTAGTAAAATCTGTTACCTTTTTCAGTTATTTTCCTAGTTCCTGCTCTTTTAACTTTAGAAATGTATTAAAACTCTTGTTCATATGGTTTTTTGTTAATTTCCCTATATATTTATTTAAAGTTGTATTTATCATCATTATTGGTTTCAACTATAACCTTGACATTCAGTATAATCAATATAGGATGGTCCTATGATAGTCTTCTCATACCAACTCTCCTCTCAATTCTCATGATAATGGGACCACAAAGCTTAATCACCTTTGATTTACCCCTTTTCTTCAATTTTGTCAAATCAGTCATTAAACTTTATTTTTCCTTAAAAACAGTTTCCGTTCCATCTCTCTATCTGATAAAGAATGAAAAGGAGGAATCAATGTGCTATGAAAAGTTGTTAAGAAACTGACTCTGCCAGAAATAGCCTAGATAATCTGGTAGCAGCACAGTTTTATAAGATCCTAAATCAAAAGAACATCTTCACCCAACAAAATTTAGAAGTGGTCAAACCAGTATAAATACCACTTTAACCTTTGGAAAATGTATGGTGCTGAGGGATCTTAACTTCACTTTGGTCACAGATGGAATCAAATGACAGACAATTCAAATCTTTCTGCTACCAGAAATGATCTGTTGGTCATGTAAAACACAAATGAAAGCATATCAACTGTGGTAAAGACCACTTAAGTTTGTTCATTTTAAATAAGTCATGAGTAAATATTTCTATATAAAAAGAGAATTTTGAAAGACATGCAAAATCCAAGTTTGATTTTTAAAAATTTTTTTCAAGTTCAATTTTTCTATTATAAAATTCAATAGACATTCAATTATTCTGTCAGATTCCTGTAAGTTTCTGAATGCTCATTTCACTTTTTGTAGGTATCCATGACAGGCTGTTAATGGTTACCTGTACTGTGCTGGTAATGCAGATCACAGTTTGAGGAGGACTATGTTAAAGAGCTGACCCCAAGATGAAAAATGCCTGTCTTGTTAGACCTCATCTATACCTGGTGTCTAATAAGCAAGACAGAGATTTGATCAGAGACTCTTGAAAAAGGGGGAAAGGAATATACCAATTACATTTTTTTTTAATTTGGTGGTAATTCTTCTTAAACTTTCCTCATGAAAATCATAAAGTTGTAAAAATATAATTTACCTTATTATCTGACAAATAATGCATGCTCTTGACTAAACAGACCCAAAAAGGAAAATAAAACAACAGATGTGAAATTCTAAACAACAAATATAATCTCC